AAGCCATTCAAGCAATCTTTTTTGAAGTTTTTTGATTGTTACTTAATAATCAAGCCTATCACACAAGGATTTTTGAAGTATTTCAATTTAAATCAGAGAAAAACTCGATTTGCTAATAATTGAAATTTTCTAAGCTAATGATGCAAAAATCTTTGTAGTTTTTTCTAAGTTAAAATATAGCGTCGATCGATTTTATTCGCGAAATTTTTTGCAGCAAGATATTCAAGCGGCTAATTATGTATATGTTTTCAAAATAGTTCGTTAAGTGTTCGGATTTGCAAATAATTAAAAAAATTTCTGCCCTATGATTTTTTTGACCTACAAGATTTTTTGGAATTAAGAAGTCGCTTGGAGAACACATCAACGTGGAGCATTTTTTAAACCTATTTTTATTTGATGTTTGCTAAACCTTAAGCTAAGCGGCCGTAAAACGCAGACCAATATTCTCGAAATAAAATTTTATGATCAGAAATCTTCAATAATAATTATAACTGAAAAGCATTAAGATGAGGTCATAATTGTTGACCTACAGGTCTCGAAATTACCTAAATTGATTGAAAAATATAGCAGGCAAGGCATAGTTTATACCCAAAAAAATATTTATCAGCTGTCAGTTATGGCTTAACCTTAAAAGGAAAAAATCGCAGACCATTCATTATCGACAACAAATTTCCTTTCTGATCTTTGCATTGCAAGCGATGAATGTAACGACTTGAGATGATGTCAGAATTGTAAACGACGCGAACTATTCAATATTGCATTATTTGCGCGAGGAAGAAAACGGCGTAAAAGATAGTTGCTTTCAAAGTTTTGTCATCCAATCTTGGCTGCTGAGGTTAATTGTGAGTAGCAGAAAAAAACATAAACCATCCGAGGTCGACCTAGTTTCTGATTGTAGTTTTATATTACATATCGAAAAGACAAAAAGATGAAGACACATTTCATAACTTTCGAAGAAGCTCTAATTGCCGGCAAAAAGTCAACCTTGAGTGCAACTCCTTCCGAAGGTCTTTCATTTTTTGTTTGCTAAGTTTTGATCTGATATCAAACAAATGATGACCAATTTTTTTCGTCCCAAATTGTTTTGTTGATTATTTTTGCAATCAGAGTTTATTTAGCTGGAAAATTTCAAGCTGGCACGTTGTTCTATCATTTTTTTTTAAATCGCTGTACGCTAAGGTAAATAGCACGAAAAGCTTAGCATTTTTTGTCATCAAATGTTTTTGAAACGCAAAATACAACGAAACCGGCAAATATGAAACGCCCAATTTATGAGGCGGAAACGTCGTTGAGATGATGACAGTTTTAATAACTTACGGGAGATTTTGGAGGCTACCGTATTTGTGTGGGGAGCAAACCATAGTAGGCAAATTCTTTTTAAAATGTTTTAATCTGTTGCTCGCTAAGGTTTAGTCTGAGCAGCTTGAGAAAAACAAGCCAATTTTTTTTTTAAAATACTAAATTTGATTTTTTTTTTGAAAGCCAAAATGATGCAATATTATCTAATTTTAGATAGCATATAATGATACATCAACGAAGAGCATAATTTTTTACAGAAGTTTTTTAATCTGTTGTTCGCTAAAGCTCAGGCTATATGGCAAAAATACGCAGACTAGTTTTTCTGGATAATATTTTTTTAATTTGAATTTTTCAATGCTAACTATGACTGAAAAAGCATTAAGATGATAGAATTTGTTAACCTAAAGGAGGTGTTCGAAGCTACCTTACTTGTTTGGAGAACATAGCACCCATAGCATAGTGTCTTCCAAAAAAATTTCATCAGCTGATAGCTACGGCTTAGACTTAACAGCAGAAAATCGCAGACCACTCATTCTGGACCTTAAGCTCTATTATTTTTGCAATACAAACTATTTAGATGATATCAGATTTGTAGGCCACGGTAACTTTGATATTGCTTGACTTTCGCGAGATAGTTGCTTCCAAAGTTTTGTCATCGAACCTTCACTGCTGAGGTTCTGTGCAGGCAAAAAGAAACAAATCATCAGAGGTCGACCTAGTTTCGGATTGTAGTTTAAGAATACATACAGTAACTGAAAAGAGAAAAATGTCATGACACATTTGATGACCTTCGAGGATGCCCTATTTGACCGAGAAAAGTCAACATTGAGTGCATTTCGTTCCGAAGTTCTTTCATTCGTTGTTTGCTAAGTTTTAATCTGATACCAAATAGTTGCTGACCAGTTTTTTTTTCGACAAAATTTTTGCTTTTGTTCCGACCATTAAACATGGGGAGGATCTTTGTATTCGTGTGTGTTTTATCTTTTTCTTATTGTTTTCCACGCAAAACAAGCTAAAATAATCTGAACTGGGTTGAGTGATATATCATATTAAAACCCCTACAATCGTGATTTGCCGCATTTTTAAGTTTGTCAAAAACGTTTCCACAGTGTCGAAAAAAAACGATTTGATATTTTGTTTTTTCGTCTTAATTCGAGCGAGGAATGCAGTTTTATTTTAATTGATTAATTGCTTAAATGCATACAATGGCTTATAATAAAACGTAAGAACTTTGTTTTGCCTGGATAACGTCAGTTTACTATAAGTATTTAGCTTAAGTACTTGGGAGTATTTTTTTAGGTATTTACTTTAAGTATTTAGGATCAATTTTTCTTAAATTCAAAAACTTCAAAAAACTTGAAAAATTGTTTTTCATTTTGCTGATTTTAGTATGGTTGTCGAATCTTCAAAAACCCCATACGATAAAACTTGAATGTATTTTTTTTGATACTTGTTGGAACACTAGGTGCTACTTGCACAGTTACCGGCTATCCTTGCTATATTTGTTTTTGGAATGGGGGCGGACGCCCTTCTTCTCAGGAATTTGACCCCCTGCCGACCCACAGGGTCCCCCTTTGTACTATTTGGAGATACCCATTTTTGGCCGACAAGCCTTAAAATTTTTCTAAAGGCGCCTTTGGTGTCAATTTATACTAACTTTGAGGGGGGAGCGCGCGCCGAAAAAACGCAATTTTCTGGTCGAAGTTTTCCAAGAAATGACTAAAAACTACTTTTTCGGCCTGCTTTTGCGTGCGGCGCAGAAGTATTGACAAAAACAGGGTCTTTGTAGTGCTTTGGGAGAGCTCTGAAAATCAAACTGGTCGACCTTAAAAAAGGTCGACATAATTTTAATTTTTTTTTGAAAAGCCCCCCCTCGAGAAATTCCCAGATCTGCGCCTGATGATGTATCAAAAAATTGACAATCTAGCAAATTTCTTCGTGGACTAATTTCTGGCCTGTGAAACAAATCACCCTGCAGCTATAGCATTGTTCCGTCCCACCCCCAGTGTGACGGTGTTGGAGGGTGTTTGATGTGATTGGTCGTGGCAAACGCAACTCTCTCCAAAATGTAAGATTTGGGTTTTCCTGACCAATGATTGAACTCATTATCTTGCATAGTGGAGTTTTTGATCTTTTCCAACATTTTTGAGTGATTTAAAATCATTTTTCAAGAAATTCAAGTATTTATTCGCAATGTATTTACAAAAATGAGGCATACAAATTTCATTTCATGTTATCAACGCAATGTCTTTTGTTAACTTTATTGAATTGAATTGATGTTAGTTCTGTATGTACATGGTGCATTGCAGGAAGATAATGTTTTTGAGATGCTATGTCAAAAGTAATGTTGATCCGGCTGTTCATATAGGCGAAAGCTAATTTAGGCGAAAATTAAAAAATTGTTCACGCGAAGTTTCAGATATCAGTCATACATATTTTGCTATCATTTCTCCTTATAGCATTGGTGAGTATCTAAATCTTGTTGCGCTGTACTTACATCTGTCACAAGTAAAGCAGCAGGAATCACTATTTTCAGCTAATCTTTAATTTTTTTTTTAGAATATTTGGGTTCTGATCCATTGAATTTTAACGAGTCTCCAGTTATTATCGATACCCGGGTTGACAAAAAATGGTTATCAAACATTTTTCATATATGAAAAAAATGCTTATCATACTCTTTCATACTATTTCATAAATTATATGTATGAAAATTGCAAAATAAGCATTTTTTCCATACTATGAAATTGTATGACAAGCATTTTTTCCAGGAAACCCAGAGTGTAACTGACAGTTACCACGCAGATAAACTGCATTTGGTGGTTTTAGCCATAAAAATTAATTTTCACATTTTCACATGGAATTATATACCAAAAAGTAATTTTTTCAACCAGGCTAGATAATTTTTAGTTTGAAATTGTGATGGTTGAGAAAAAAGTTTATTTTAGCAACTGAAACAAAAGATAATAATCGTGCATACAAAAAAAATCATTTTCTTGAGATTTTTGGATTTTTTTGGTTTTTTGGCTGAGAAACTCATCCTGAACTGCGTTATAAACACAAAAATGTCAAATTTTGCATGCAATTTTTTTTTCGTAAAATTTATATTTTAACACAACAGCAAGTTTGCAGCCAAAAAAGGGATAAAAAACTTTTTACCTCAAATTTTTATTTTTGTTGATAAAAAAAATGCATATCATACAATTTTCATTTATGAAAATTATATGATAAGCATTTTTCTGACCGAAATGAAAACTATGTTTTTGATTGTCAAAATTCCCTCTATCATAGATATACTTATTAAAATCTATTTAAAGTTATCCAGACACGTTTTTTGGTGATTTTGAAAAAATTTATTTTTTCTATGACAAAATGACTACTTTATAATTTTCATACATGAAAAATATATAATAGGCATTTTTTATAGAAAAAATTTAAATCATTTTTTTAATGACGAGAAAACTTCGAAATAGGCAATTAGACCAAAAAAGTTCATTTAAAACTTTTAAAACACTTTTAAACTTTTGTATGAATTTTCTATGAAAAGCAATTTTTCCATAGACTTCATATATGAAACTGCATGATAAGCATTTGTTTTTCTATGGACGTCAACCCGGGTTAATGTAAAAAATAAGAAAAGAAACGATGCAATCAATGAAACTTCTTTCTGCTCTACTTTTGTAATCTTCAAAATGTAAGCCTATTATAAGTACTTTTTTCGCCTATTTTAGTTTTCGTCTAATACAGCCAACCACCTCCGTTGGTGACTCAGTTCACAGTTTTGTGTAGAAACACAAAGGGATTGACAATATTGACTGGTCTTTGTGAATGACAGAGCTCAGAACGTAGACTGCCGAATCGGAAACAAAACAGTATGAAAACCCATTGGTAATTTTCAATTATAGAAGCAAATTTATAAGTGGCGATAGTTGGCTAACTATTTTGCTAATTCATATTTTGTTTATGTAGTAAGCAACCATAATTTCATTAGGAAAAATTTCTCTGCAGCATCCAATGTGCTATTTTTGATGTTTTTTGTTATTTATTAAGATAGTATTTCGATATGTCGTCGATAAGATTCATTTAAGTCTTTTAAATTCATATTTGAATCTTGGGTCTGGTTTTGATAATCTTGAGAACCTGCATTGAAATATCTTTTTTGATGCGTTTTAAGACAATTTATTCAAGAGGGAAAGGATCAACATAAGAGCTGTACAGCTCATCACGGCTAACCGCTGTTGTGCCCCTGCTTACGAACTACATGCAATTTTTTTTGGTTAGTTTTCGCGGCTGGGCAAGGTTGCCTCACCCTTAAGCAACGAGCACGGATCATGGCTGGCCCTGAACATCTGACCTTTTGGTTGAGAGGCGGAAATTTAACCACTTCACCACCACTTCATTAATACGGCGCAAAATATCAAGAAAAAAATATGCCGATAAATTCGGGAAGTGATTACAAAATCTGAAAAAATTTGTAAGAAAAATAATTTAAAAGTATTCAACTAAAGTAGATTTATGCATACTTGGTTGGTACCACCGCGGGTTTACCATCGCTCAAAAAGTTCCCTTCCTCGTTTTTCTTATCGAGTTCTTAGAGATTTTCTATCTTACATCTTTCTTTAAGAAAAATTCAAAGATAGATTCTTTTTCTCAAAACTTTCTTTCAAGAAAAAGTTCTTATCGTGTAACGTTCTTAGAGTAAAAAGTAAAAAGTTGCAATATGCTTATAAGAAAAGTTGTATGAAAGTGACTTTTGTTCAAACCGGGATACTTTGTACGCACCGTGTTTAGAGAGCCACAATCCACGCGATGGCAGATAGCAGGAAGATGACAGCCTTCGCAGCCAGCTTTGTAGCCGAAGCTGGAACAGTGAAAACAAAGTTATGTTATTTTTAGGTTTCCATTTTTTAGACAATCAGCAGTTAGCAATTGCTGATCGTTTGGTTTTCGATGGTATTCATAAACCTTATCTGCGAAGCAGTTATCAAACTGGAAACGAAAATTGACATTAGAAAGAAACAGAATTTAATTGATTGACTAGATTTGAAGTGCTGTCACTGCATGAATAGCTTAGTTCTAAGATGTTCTTTTACTTTAGCATGACTCGTAAACTCACATCTGAATTCGTAGACCATCGGTTGCAAACTGGAGATGTTCTGATCTCCCTGACAATGCGGGGGATCCACTCCGACGAAGAACTCGAAGCTCATGCTGTAATCGATTGTGGTGTTGATATTGAGTTCAAACGGCATCTGATTCCTATTTATGAGGACTTGAGACACGTCTTCAGGCGGGGTGAACGTGACAACGGTGGCGTCGAAGTTGCCGGCATCATCTTTGATGTCGATGATCATAGTGGAGTCGTCCTGTTTGTAGATGTCCATCTCCCCCGTAATCATAAGGGGAGCTGAAAACGAATTGAATTGAATTGCTGACAAGTTTTGTTGAAAGGAGCTTAAAATTTTGGATGAAAATTTATATCTTTTTTGTCTAAATTTCGGATCTTGATAACTATTGTCCCCTTTTGCAAAGGGGTCGTTTGTTAGAAGGTACAAAACTCGTTTATGCTTAACGGTTCAATTCTTTCTAAATGGGTGGCTTGTTTCATTACCCGGTACCATATGAAAGGGGTTAGCAAGATCCTATATTTCTAACAGGCTGAAAAAAGACCCCTGCCCTCACAAAATGGGTCAAAACTTTCAGGTGCCAATATAGACTTAAAAAAAGAGGAAGCCTTCCAAAATGTGCCTAAGAGAGTTTTTGCCCGTGTATCCAAAAACTTGATTGCAGTACAATATAGCCGGTCTAGTGTTTTGGGAAAGCTCGGAAAATGAATTTGATCATCGAAAAAAATTTCAAATACTTTTTGTAACTGAGCTTGAAAATGAGCATCATGTTCTGAAAATGGGTATGAAAGTTTGATTGTGATTTTACTAGTGCATGCGGTGATTGTTTGGTAGTGCAATTTCTTTGGAGGAATGTTGCCGAAAAGAGAAGATTCGATAGTCATTTCATAGATTGTGCCCGACTGCAGCCCATCAATCACGACTACACTCGGGTCGACAGCCGAATCAGTTCGTATATCAGCATTCTCGTTGCAGTCGCGATCAACTTCCGAGAAGCAATCTGCATCAATGTCGGAGATCGCAGCAGGGGCATCTGCAGCTGCAACTGAGATAGTCACTTTGTCTTCTTGATAATCAGTGACTGCCAAATTGACGTTCGCGTATCGATCTGACATTGAAACACACTCTTTCAATTACTTACAGGTTGCTCTAGTTTTTTAAATTATATTGCATTTTTTTGTGAAAAATTACCAAAAATGAAAACATGAGAATTAAAAGAAATGTCATCCCAATTTGACTTCAAATATATTTTTCTCACTGATAACAACTGTTGGTAATAACTAATTTTTAGTCAAATTATCGTTCTCATCAATCTCAATAAAAATATTCATTATAACTCTCTGACTTTGAATCAATTTACAACATAATCTTCAATACCAACTAATAAAAAAGACGTCGAATTTATTTTTAGTTACAAAAGAGACATATGCAATTTCCAATCTGATTTTTGAACATTTTAGACAATTAAGCAGAACTTGTATACATATTTTTTTGAAAAATGCTTGTTGGAACTAATGATGGAATGTGCAACTTAAAAGGAGAGCTTTGAGATAATATTTTTTGCTAAATCTTAGCGTTTGAACTCGTGACAATTTCCTAGTAAGACTTCGAAAATTTTATTTAAATGAAACATTTCATGAGTTCTTACATTTCATGAGTAGGCATTTTTTAGAAAATTGGTAGTTCATAGAAAAAGTGGGTAATGTATGGATGTTTCTGGGGTGTTTGCAGATGTTTTTAGACTAAGAAGAGTCTCGACTACTAAACCCACCTGGCTCGTAAGTGCTTATGCTGGAAGCACTACTAACTGTTCTCTGCTCTCCACAATCCATATTGAATCCAACTTGCAACCTAACAGTGACCTCGTAGTCTTGTCCGCTTGTTAGCCCCGTCACCGTTTTGGGCAGTTCGCTCGCCATGAAAGTCTCCCGTGGGAGAGATGGTTCGAAAGTGGCCACAACCCTCTCGAAGTTCCCCGAGTCTTGGTGGATATTGATCTGCATTGAAGTTGAGTCCACACGCGCGAATTCGACAACCGGCGCATCAGGCTCTGTGAAGCAAAAACCCGTAAGTTTTAGCAAAAACAATGAATTATCAGGTTTTTTGTAATATTTTGCATCTCAAAACGCAACTATTAAGGAGAAAACATCATAATAACAACATTTAAAGGCACAAATTCAGCAAACTTTGCGCAATCATTTTTTTTGAAGATGCTTGTTGGAGCATAGAAATGATTATGCGGCTTAAAAAAGACACATTCTCAACAGTTTTGGCTTTTTTGGCTAGGATTTTTTTCGTAGTCATATAGACAAAAAATGCTGGCCATACAATTGTTTTTATACGTTGAAAATGTGCGATAACAGGGACGGATCGAGGATTTTCTCGAGGAGAGGTGCTGATTTTCAACTTTTTTCTGAAAATTTTTTCAATCTTTTTCCCCTGAAAATTTGTATATATAGACTCTCAAGGCACTTTTACAAAAATTTTAGGGTCGATCGGCCAAAAACAGGCCTCTTAAGAAGTACCAAAGAGGGGACCCTTTGGGTCGACAAAAGATCGAATCCCTGAAGGGGGGTGTCCGCACCCTCCCTAAATTAATTACTAGTTTTGCCCCTGTATGATAAGCTTAGATTTTTCATCCAAATGATGAAATCGTTTTCTGATGATCAAAAAAATCTTCAAAGATGTATTTCGTGATATTTGGCACTGAAGTTTTGGCACCATTACATTCTTAGCTTAAAAATCTTGAAAAGTGTTGTATGAATGAAAACAGACAAGCATTTTTTCTCAGAAATGCGGATGCAAAATTGGCGAGTTTTCGACCATTCAGAATGCAGCAAAAAAATGTAATTAAAGACAGTAAATTAGCTCTAGAGTTTTCTGGAGTGGCGTCCCTCATGATGGAGGGACGCAGAAATTGTACAGCAAAATTTCGCTGGGCCGTTACAATTACTTCTCTGTTAATAAAGACTTCGGCTAAGAGCAGAGCCCAGTTAGTCAATGGGAACCTCCAACAATTCTGATTGGTTGAAAGTTTTCCATCATGCGGGAAGCCTCCATCATGAGAATACCCCCGCTTACTGACAAAAGTTTTAGCATTGGTGCATTCTGGTTGGACAAAAACCCGCCTACTTAATCTACTGAACAATCTCCCCCATTCTTGAAAAGAGGATTCTTGAGCAGATTTGTATTTTTCTGTGCGTAATTGTATCATAAAAACATTTTACTTGTAGGTTTTCTTGTATCATACAAACATCATATAAATATTTTCACGGAGATCAGACCGTGATATATTTATTTAAGAAACATTCTATTTTATTGATAACGTATCGCAACAGAAATTTTTAATGCATATATAAGATTAAAAAACGATTTTAAAGTTAATTGCTAAGTTAGCTTAGAAAAATTGCGAACGGAGTAATTAAAAGATGAGAATTTTAAACTGGACATACTAGTGCAAAATGTGAGGACAGAATTTGTGATCTCAGTATTCGCAGCCCCGTCCACAGTTGCTGAATCGATCGTGACGACATAAGCAACACCCGATTCCAGTTCGCTCATTTGCAGCCATCCAGTAGCACTGGCCACTACGTTGCTCTCGTACTCGGCTGACTCACAGACTGGACGATCAGACTCCATATCAGGATCACAGGAGGCCTGGAAATTTGAAACGGCGCTGGATCCGACTCTATCTGTCACTGTGAAGTTGGCAGTTGAGGCAGTACTCTCAACGAGCCCCAAATCCAACGCCACCATGTCTAAGTATAAGAAAAGATAACAAAAAGATCGAAAGCACTTTAAAAAAGAGGAGGAGTTAGGCGTCCGGGGATTATCAAACCTCTCGCCACCCAAAGATTCCCCGGCCAAAAAATGACGAAAAGGGTCCAGTTTTAAACTGGTCCAATTTCTCTAAAGTCTTCTTTGGTGACAATAACTACAATTTATATATTTACGAAAAGGTTTTCAACTTGTTTTTCAAACATTTTTGACCTAACAAAAGGTTGTCAAAATTTTTTTGAAGGTCATCCTCTTCTGAGAAAACCCCAGATTTGCGCCTGCTTGAAAGCTCTGTTTTGACGGGCCAGCGTAAAGCTATGATATTTATGACGTAAGCTATTATATTTTCACCAAACTTGAACTGTACTGTGAACTTAGGAGGCATTATTTTTTACACTGTTCTTGTTTTTTGGGCTAGATTTGAAATTTCCAGAGACAAACTGAAGAGCTTAAGATAACACAAACTCGTATTGCGAACAGCTAATCAAAATGGATTTCAAACCTGACGAGTAAAGCACTGTTATTTCTTCACTGGTCGCATCTCCCCCAGCTCCGCAACCCCCGGAAACTGAGAATTGGAAGACCAACTCGTAATCCTGGCCCCCTGTCAGCCCCGAGACAGTCTTGGGCAAATCATCAGGAGTGAAATCGGCGATTGTCAGACCGGAGGGTACAGTTCGAACCACTGTTCCTGTTTCAAATCGTCCTCCGTTTGCAGCCACATGAAATTCCATCGAAGTTTCGCTCACTTTTTCGAGAATCAATACAGGGTTGGGCTCTAAAAAACACAAAGTGTTCAAATCTTACTTTTTGTTCAAATTTAGCATGCCTTTAATAGTAGTCGCTCTAGAACTCAATGTCAATGGCATGTTAAGGAGAACTCTATTTAAGTTGTGACAAGAACAGGCAAAGATTCCGAAGTTTTTTCCTGAAAATAGTTTATTTTTTTTTAAAACAGTAATATGGGACGCCCATAGAGGACTGCATGTTTTTTGATGGTTTTAGTTCCCAAAAAGTGTAATAATTTGTAATTAACAGCTTCGTTTATATCTTTAAAACACCTAAAGAGATTCATTCAATACCACATCAATTGTCTTTTCATAGTTTGAAAATAGTTTTATGCCTGAGTAACTCAAAACAAAAGATTTTAATTAAATATCAGTAGATGGTACTATCTGGCAAATAAGAAAGATAAGAGCCCAAAAATGTCAATTTTAGCTTTTTTGATCGGAAAATTGTACGTGCTTGGTACAGGTAGAGCTATGCGGCACCACTCTATTATGTTCATAAATTATTAAGCAAAATCAATTATCTTCAAAACACCGAAAGAGATGCTTTTAATATACATCAATTGTCTTTTCATTCTTTAACAATAGTTTTATGCCTGACTAACTTGGTGGAACCTAATCCAAACTACATTTTATTATTTATTACTTAGACATTTAATCACAGTAAAGTATTTAATATTAACCAATCACAATCCATCTAACTAACTACCCACTTATTTGTAAGTGCTGAAATTACTTGTAATTTCAGCACCAGAGAGATTTGAATTTAACTTAGAAAATAGTTGACTCTCCAGAGTACTTCAGCAGCCGCAACAATACCAGTATACTCTAGATCTATTGAGCCTAGCAGAGACTAGTTAAACACCCTGAGACTAGTAGTAATAAGAGTAAGATTAGGATCGGTATTAGACTAAGAAGTTGCACGAATCTATCCGGCCGAAAATAAGATAGCGTGACGAGCAGACGGTGTACCCTATCCGAAATTACTCTATGAGATAGACCTCCATACCTAACTCATCTGGTGCGACCATAAGTCTCGAACAAGACCTTAAAAAACAAATTAGCTTAGAATTAACAAAAATTAGATTAGAAAATAGACAAAAACATTTTCAAAATGTTATACGATAATAATTTAATTGAATGGTCTCTCCGACTCAATAGATCAAAACCACTCTTCCGAACAATACTAGAACAACGACGTTTTGGAATCAGAGCACGGACAAGAAACGACATACGACTACGGAGAAACTTACCAAATAGTTTCATGATAGTACGGCAAAAGCCACAACATACTTTTATATTTAGAATTATACCGGCAATGAATTTAGATTTTCATTCGCAAACATAGAGTTCATGAAGAAAAATTTTCAATGCATTTACAGGCGCTAAATAAATTATTAATGTTCAATAACGATTGATAAGAACATCACTAATCGTTTCTTCAACTGCAGTACTATATAAAAAATATTTAAAAAATAAATTATTCAAAATAAAAATAAAATAAACATCATTTATCTTGTTGTTCCAGCTTCATCACCTAAACATAACAGCTATCATAAATAAACCAACTTCATCAAAACTAAAATACACAAATTATTATTTCAAAATCTTAAACTTTATATTTCTTAAACCTAAAAACTTTAAATCTTAAACCAGATCATCAAGGCCTATCCTTGGATCTAATTTAATTTTCTATCTTTAACTTAAATTCTGATCATCAAGGCTTATCCTTGGATCATAAAGAACAATTTTGTTCTCCCCCACCCACCTATCAAGTGTCTAACGACCTCAAACGTCGATTCACTCTCCAACCTTTTCAAAAGACCCAGGACTAATAGAAATTTTTCAAATATTAACCATATAAATTAAGATAAACAGTGAAGAACTTCGGTTATTCATCCTTCACTTAACCCCCTCCTCTTATACGACCCAAGATAGATCTTAGACTTAGTAAGTTTAAAAAAGTATCTAACGAACTACTCGCGTTCTATCTATACCTGAACCTTGTGGATCGATTTACTATTCTCCAACCCTTGAACACAATCACTACCCCTAAGTAAGATTAAGTAAGTTAACACCTTAGCTTATATTAGCCACGAGAAAGTAAAAATCATTCTTTGGAATCGATATACTTTTCTCTCCAACCCTGAATAAAAAGACCCAGGCTAAGCTAACCAAAAAATCGTAAGGACTAACAGTCTAGGAAATAAAAACCACTTACAAACAACCTTGCATCCATCATCCTAAACCTTATGTCATTAAAAAATTTAGGAAATAAATAAACCATCGTCATACACAATTGTCAAATTGAAAATCAAAAATACGATCTTGTTATCACCCCGCATACACAAACAACTGAATACATACACACAAAACGGCAAACACTAAAAAGAACAATTTTAAGTAAACAACGACAGATAACACGAAAAAGATTTTCGAAGAACCGAAACGCATTTTCCGACTCAGAAGTCAGTAGTCTTGACGCACTATACAAAGTAGAAGAGTCAATAAATCAAACTTACCCAATCCAGGACTCAGTATATTTTTCAGACTCAGAAACAAATACAATCTCATCGAAAAAAGGAAAAAATAGAATAAAAAAGAAATACAAGCATAAACCAGTACATCTGTACAATTAGAGTCAACCAATTAGACACATTAACAACTATTTATTAACAGTCATCAAACGTAAAGATGAGCAGCCACACTCAAAGTGAAGAAAGCGAACAAGCATTCCCTTTCGTTATAGATTCAGAAACTGATAGAGGACAAATAAAATTTTGTAAAACTTTACTCATAGATTTATTTGAACCAGTAATCAGTCCATGTAAAACAGAATTTCCAGATGTAAAAATAAAACGACAAATAATTGATCATTATATAAAAGATATTGCAAAAATAACACAACAATACGGTATCTATACTATAGGAATCTGTACACCAGGAGATAAAAAATACGTTCTTCAAACAGAAGATCTTGATCTTGAATTTTCAAAGGTATTCACAGAATATATCAAAATTATACAATACCATAACTCACAGATAGCAAACTCGATATTCACAAATGAAGTTTTTGCTATAATATATACAAATTTAAATATATTAGAAACAACAGAAGCCCAAAGTACATCACCAGTCCAAACATCTAGACACACCAAAGTTAGAAATGAAATCACTGCATTTTCTACATTTTTATACGCAATTCGTGAAAACTTTTACAATAATGACGTTTCACAAAACTCCAAACATGATTTACAAAAAATACTAGCATGGTTTATAATTGATTATTTCGGACATAATATAGATTTAATTCACGAAGCAAGAAAAAATTTTAGACCTCAAAGTAACACTGACGACACAGTCATTCACGAACAATCAGATTATGTTTGGGACCCCGATTGGTCTCATCCATTATTTGTAAATTTCCCAAATGATATTTCAAGTCAAGCGATAGACACAATATCTATTCACCCAAATTTTATAAAAAGTATACCATTAACAATTGACGCCAGACCTTTAAATTATAATACATTTTTGCCTAATACACAAAATAATAGTTTAAATTCAACGGTTATACATAATGAAAACCTCAATGAAACTCAAAATCTTACACAGCAAGATATTCAAACACCATCAAACTTCATAAATGAAGAGATTGTCCATACGACAGTAACAACAACACAGCAAAGTATTTCACCGATACATCCACATTTAACAACTCCAAAAAATAATAAAGTAACATAACCACATATAACGTTACAATCACTGTAAAACCTTCAGCCACTTTTGCAGCTAAACTCTCACATATGGATTATCAATCATTCAGACCAATGACACAACTATCAAAACCAAAAAAGACATTTACAAGAAATAATTTTGCAGAACATAATTATAATTACACACATCCACCAAGACCACACTATTCTCCAGGAAAATTCAATAATAATCATGTATACTCACATAATTGGAACAGACCAACGACAACAAATAACCCAGAAAACTTTCAATCTAACCAACATCATCCACAGGATCATAGTAAAAATTATCCATTTTTTCAACAGAATAAAAATCGACAAAAAAAATCTCACCATACTGATTATGTATCATCTGATGATGATCGTTTACCAGATATTTTTGAAACATATCTACAAGAATATCGTACACAAAAACCACCACGCCCTCAGTATAAAAGAATTTTCCTTGAAAACCCACTAGATTTTCAAGGCCAACAACCACAAGTTGCAACTTCATATAATACACAATTTTTTCAACCAGTGCAGACACAAAACCCAATGACAAAGCATTCGTATCAACCAAATCAAATGCACAACGAAATTCCATTACCATATTATCTACAACAACATGAAATCACAAAAAATCAATTGACAAATTTTTCACAAATACCAAATGCCGCAGAGTCATTACAAATGACAATGAACCCATATCTCATGCGAGGATCATCAATAACATGAAATAAACCACTCATGGTATTTACAGGAACAGACCCTGAATACTCAGTAGAAGACTACTTAAACGCAGTCACAGCAAATCTAATTTTAAATATAGGACCTGAACCGATAAATACACCACTTCATCAAAATTTGATACATCGCCGCACAGCGTTGATACAAACGACATTAGACGGCGCAGCACAAAAATGGTTTTCAGTACTACCTATAGAAATAAAATCAGATTGGAAAAGATTCACACAAGAATTTTCAAAAATGTTTGATTCTGAAAGAAACAAACAACATCAAAGAGTTTTATGTAATGAAATTCGAAGATTACCAAATGAAACAATAAAACAACTAGCAGTCAGAATCAAAACACTAGTTCGAAAAGCATACTCACTTAATACGCACGATTATAAAAATACCAAAATGACAGAAATCTTAATGATGACCTTAACACCACAATTAAGGAAAATTGCTATAAAGAAAAGAGCATCTCATCCTTCCTCAATTCGTGAACCTGATCTAGATTTTAGAAA